ACCAGTACGCCTCCACCATGTATACAGAGCTTATAGACCTCCCTGGGGATTTATAATTATACAAAGATCCAGTTCAAAGTCATTCTTTCCAAGAATATATGTTACTGAGGTTAGAATTCTTTGGACAGCAAAATTCAAAGGCTGTGTTAAAAAAAAATCCCTTTAGAATGACACTTTTGGTGTAGATGACAGTTGAATGGAATCATATGCCAGTAGATTAATTTTTTGCATAGGATAGCAACTAATTTAAAGATACTTACCAACTGAATCATATTCATTGCAACAAATGTAGAAAAGGTATGAATGAGAATTAATATCTTTACAATACAAGAGATGTATTTGACAGGTTTCAATTATATGTTAGTCAGAAATACATTTATTACTGACAGTTGACATAATTGAAACCAGTTAAATACAACTTTTGTATTGTGAAGATATTCTCATTCATACCTTTTCTATGTATTTGCCAATTCTTTTTGAGTTATAGAACTAGCTTTATATACAAATAGTATTGAATGCCAGAAACTAAATCTATCCAATCTTGCTCTAATATAGGTTTGAAGCTGTGGACAGGGCAGAGGCCACTTATAACCATTATATACTAATACTGTTACAGCCATTTGGTACAGAAAATGGGACCATAAACCTAAATCATGAATGTAAAGGGTAGTATTTACATTCTAAGTAATAGGACATGAAAAAATCTCCCAGTGTTTGGTATTTTTTGTCCTGATGTGGCAGAACATCATCCATCACCAGTAGGTTAATGAAGGCAAACAAAGAATTACAAATTATAATTATAAACTGCCGTTACTGTGGCTTAGTGGCTCTGATCAGGCAAGGGAGACACTACCTAAAAAGGCATTGAGAACTATAATGAGATAAGAATATTTCTCAAAGGTAAACTATCAGATTGCTCCCTTAGTGACATAGCGAGGTCTATGTAACTAGTAATTACTGGTTGCAGCTAACTAAGTGTGATGATGATGAATATTATCTTTACTCATTCCACCATTAGTTCCCTAAAGATAACACTTCCAAAATATAAATTCATCATCACAATACAATATGTAACTATAATCTCCTTTCATTAGTGTTATACAAATATCAAATTGCAGTTTAAGAAGCATGTAATAAACACAAAGTTAATTATTTGTCTTGTCATCTCTCTTGCTCCTCCTTTCCACAGATTTCATTAGCATAACTGGTATCTCGTATTGTTATTCATTCTGTACCTTTTCATACTGGGTCAGTACAGGAAACTGATTTGATTACTGGGTAAGAACGGGAAGTGTTGTTGGACAAAGTGTACAATGAGAACAGAAATGATAGGTTAGCTAATGCTTATAATAATGGTAGTATCAGTAGTGATTATAGTATGGGTATATACTAATAAATGTGAATGATTTTAAGGTTGACATTAATAAAATTATGTAAAACTGCAAAATTGAAGGGAGTTTCAGGAGTACTGGAGAATTTCTCTCTTATTCAGATTATATAACTTGACTAAGTTGTTTGGAGCTGGAATAAGAAAAAGAAATGGGCATATTGTTTATTTTTTCAGCTTTTTACAAACATAATTGGTTATTTCAGGGAAATGAACAGTCTGAGGTCAAAGAATGCATGGCCAAGATATATCTTTGCAAAAGATATGTCAGTAACAAGTGAAGTGTTTATTCCATACTGAGCTGCACCCCTTAGTTCACACAAGTTAGCTGCTTGAGGGAAAAATTAGAAGCAAAGGACACACAAAATTACCCCATGCTCTATAATCTTAGCTGCAGCGTAGACAGTTCTTTAGGTAATGAGGCTAATAAGAGGGTTTATTCACAGGGATAAGCAAGTAGACATTTATTTAGCAGCCTCAATGCCACATGACATGATGGGATGTCAGACCAGCATCTAGTACATTATCAAGCAGTCGACTGTTGTGGACTGCCAACCTATTTGGGTTAAATATCAACTTGTGAGAATATACGCAAGCATTGAGACTATTCTTACCTATTTTAAATAAATTCTTTTACTAGCAAGAAATAAAAGCAAAAAAAATTAAGATTAGCAAATGAGTGTAAATATGCCTTCCGCATCCATAGCAGTAAAAAATACATTTTTTCTATTAAATGTTAAGCCTAGAAATGCAAAAAGGATTTTCATAGGTCTGTGCATCAATTCTATTTCTTATATTTTTATTCAAGACTATTCTTATTCTAGTCTTTACTGCACTTGATATAACCAGAAATATCCAGTCTGTGTTCTTATTCCAGTCATTACCACAATTAGGAATGCAGGAGTAGATGTGTAGAGGCGAGATATGAAGATTGTAGAAACAGGACCATAAGTTATAGTTAAGCATAGTATGTGTTATAAAGCCAACATTGTATGAATTATGAATATAATAGTGCCTCTTCCATGGATACCACTGATTGCATTTCATTTTAACTTTTCTGTGAAGTAATTTTTGAAGATGACAAGGGGGAAGAGGACAGGCTCCAGATATTCAGTGATATTGAAGTCAAAAAGGACAAAACTGATAGGACACTTGGCCTGCTAATGTTATCCTTGTAAATGATGTCTGTAGGAGAATATTATTTACATATTGTATAGATTACAGATGTAAATCACAGATATCCAGGATCATATAAATAAGATATAAGAGGCAAATGCAGTAGCTCAGTGGTAATATGCATTTGGTCCACATTTTCACCCAGCTCAGAGGACGAGAAGGTTTCCACTGTTGCTGAACATTTCTGTCTTTATTATGAATGGGATCTAGGGGGTTAGTTCCCCTCCTGTTTATTGTAGTTATCTCAGCTAGATGTGGATGGAGAAGGTTGTGTGTAGTGACATCGTGTGCCCATTAGTACCTCACTCGTCCTTTTGTTCTGTCACTCACTGGTGATCTTTGAACCTTTAATTATATGCATATTCTAGTGCAGGAAAAAAATCATAAATTTATAGATTACCCATAGTTTTGATTTTCTTTAATCTCGCACAAAAATGATAATAAAAGACCTAATATTTTATCATATTCTTCATCTAGTATGTCGTTTTAGTACGTAAGGGTTATTTTTTTCTTATGTATTGAGAGAGCAAGGGATGAAGATAGAGATAATATGCTTCATTTATCATCTTAGAAAGGATGTTGATGTGTATGGATAGCATCTTATAATTTATGATAGTTTCAGTGCAAACTTGTATCATATATGACATGTGACTAGGATTTGTAGTGTATCGTATTACATAGGTAATACAGAAAGGGTAATTGTAGTGTTATAAATAAAGAACCATTATTACTTTAGCCATATAACTAGTTCATTAGTATTACTACATTTTATAACCACATTTTTGCAACCACTCCAAGACTTGTTTTGTACTGTAGACTATATGTTATTGGTCCTCAAAAATGCAACAAGAAACATTCTTGATGAAAAGAATCCTTTTTCCTCATTCTAAGCTGAGTGGTTGATTGTAGCTTCATTACGCAATATAGCTATAGCTTTAGGATGTTTTTTAAGTATCATTGAAAGGCCTAAGGTCACACTGAAGTACCAGTATACAGTATTTTACCATGGTGCTTACCATGGGGAATACTTTACATCACAGTTTAATATTATATTGGGTATTTTATTATCATAGTTAACCCATTGCTGCCGGGGATGGCATGTGCGTACATGCCATGCCCACTGTGAGTCGACTTGTTTGATTGATTATACACATAGATGGCTACACTTGTACTAAGTATCCAAAGAGCCAATTACAGTACTGCCTGCTTCGCCCGTTCATCCTTTTCATCGATTTACGAAAATATTTAACGTTATCCTAATTCGCTGTTAAAAATAACACCATCTATATTTATAGCACTAGTAAGAATACGTTTTTTCCCGCCAATTCAAGGAAAGGTGAAATCAGGACTAGCAGAGCCATCTATGGGCAGAGATATTTCACAAAAATATAAAAAAAGGGCACTGCATTTCCCCCATTTTTTGTTCATTTTCCCCGGCGGCAATGGGTTAATGTTATATTAGGTATATATTATATTATACAAGATGTTATTAGTCACCTCTAAAGCCCCATGCCTTTCCTACAAGGTCGCTTGTTATGGGCTTGACTAGCTTTTAATTGCATCATCATTTTCCTAGTATCATCAATAGAAATGAAGGGTCTCTTTATATACAATTTGTTTCATTGCTTCTTAAACTAGCATTAACAATGCTATTAGTGCTACTACCCAGGATTGTTAATGCTAGTATAAGAAACAGGTAATTTTAAAAAATCAGTTTTATGTTTAAAAGTGCAATTTGCTAAATATTATAGTATAGGATACCATTTATTTCCTTATTATGAAGGATATTTAATTTCTTCCATTTAGATTTTGGCATTTGGACTAACACTGGTTTCCCAGCTGTCAGAATATAGAGTTACCAAACAATGGGGTAATTACACTGTATAACTCTCTACTTTTTTTTCTTAGTGTTACAGAAGCTGTAAGGGTAATTTGCTCCAGTTTATTACCTCTAGTAATAGGTATATGAATGGGGGGAAACATGAGAAAATAAGGTGGTTGTTCATTTTGTTTCTACACAATTATTTGATAAACTTGATGGTAAAATTCATTCACGGTGTATTGTAAGAATAAAACATCCATACATGTGACATTTTTAACGTGCCTGGTGTTAGAAGCGGCATTTTAATCAAATCTATGTTAATCAGAACATAGCATTTTAGAAAATCATAACTAACGCTTATGATAGAGCATGGTAGATTTATAAAAGAATAATTGTGAATCGTATATATAATTAATGTACATCTTTTGATAGCATAATGATGTATGATATTTATCATAAAGTGAGGCCTTTGCTGCTAAAGATAGATTTCTGCAAATGCAAAATTCTCTAGTTTCAAAATTACTTGTTCTACTGATGCTCTAGCATTTCTAGGACATCATACTTCTTGTTAGAAATCCAATTATTACTCTTCTGTGAATCTGTATTACAAAAGCAGCAACATACCATTTAAAATTGTGTGAATCAGTCCAGGCACATAACAAACCTAGTTGATATTAGTCTTTGCTGTGGCATTCACCGTAATAGCACACTTATACTAAGTCATTCTTTTCCATACTCCCACTTTCTTCAGTAGGATCTGTACTATGGTATAGTCATTTTCATCTGATGCAATTGTCTGTGGTACATTCATTAGTATCATGGTAATAGTGGTGGCACAGTTACCTTATTATTATTTTATCAGGAACTAAACAGCATTCTCAAAGCTATTGATTCATATCCTTGCTAGAACATGTAATTTAGAGTGAGCATTGGAAGTCAAAAGCTTTTCTGATCGAAGATTAGATAGAAGTTACATTGCTATCATAATGAAATTTAGGAGTATTAACCACATGCCGTCGGGGAAAATGAATAAAAAATGGGGAAAATGCTGTGCTCATAGGTGGCTGTGCTAGTGCTTAGCCAAAAAGGAGTCAATTAGTAGAACTTGTGACCTTACTTAATTTCACCATTCCTTGAATTGGGGGGAAATACGTATTTTTCTACTAATGCTATGTTATTTTTATTATAGAAATTATAATTATCATAATGTTATAAACATTAGTAATAGCAAACTAAGATAACGTAAAATATTTTCGTAAATCAAGAAAAAGGCTCATTATTGATTTAGTATAAGTGTAGCCATCTATGTGTAAAAACAAAAAAGTAAGCTGACAGTAGGCATGACATATATGTACATGCCATTCCCATTGGCATTGGGTTAAAGAATATTGGTTATTCAGTAAAATCCAAATAGTTCTATATGATCAATACCTACTGTATGCTTTGGGAGCCACATATATTGCGAACTTGTATGGTCAATTATTCAATGATCCTTACTCTGTTCTCTTTTAGAAATTAGAAATGGGAAGTTGTTAAGCATACTCAGGGTCCTCAATTATTACTTGTATGTATTTAGATGGACTGCTCTTTTAGACTTGGCCATCTGCTTATTGTAGAGAGTTCAGTTATGTGATAACTGTAAAACCTTGAATGATATGTCTAACTGACACTGATGTTGTATTGTAGGTTATTGTCCTTGTATACCATGCCCTCCCACAAGAACCAGTGAATATATATAATGCACAACTAAAGGATGTCAAATACTATCATAAACATAATTATAATGTGGCAGACAAAAATAACAAACCTTGTAGAATTTAGAGGTAAGACTGCTGATTTGAAATTCTTGAAAATGGAAGTTTATGTAAATTTCGAAACTATTTTCTCAGCTTTCTTTAAGTCTCTTTTATATGTAGAGTTCTTTTCTGCCACTGCATTAACATGCGAAGAGTTCATTCATAATGTTAGAAGTTCTTGTTTTTTTTTTTATGATATACCGTCTTACTAATCATAGCTAGTGGTCTTATATGTAACATGATAAATTTCAACAATAGTGAGGTTTGTCCTTTGAAGAAGTGAAAGTAGTTTTAACTGTTTTGTTCCTTTTTAGTATTAGTGGTTCAGCATTTTTTTATTGGAACTAGAGGTAGTAGCTTCTGTGATTCAGTTTACTTGCGAACTAAAAAATGAGTCTTATAAGATCTCTTTTACAGCTTTTGGTAATGGAGTATATATTTCTGTAAAGGAATTATGGTACATGGCAGTTTGAAAAAATTGATTGAGGAAGTGCAGTAATAAATACATCAGTTTATTCATCTTCCAAAATTCAATAGAAGTAATATTCTACTGAAACATGAACTGAAATGCAGTTCATCAATTTGTGTGATAGTTATTATTTTTGTACATTGAATGCCTCTGCAACTATTCATATATCAGTACAGTATGTCTGACAGTACTTATTTACCTCTTTATTTGTGATCTAGATACAGTATAGTTTTAGATGAAAAGGATATATAAAAGAGGAGTATTCTTGAATGTTGCTCATGTTTCTGTGGGTTTTAAAGGTATATGATTATTAACCCATTGCCACCGGGGATGGCATGTACGTACATACCATGACCACTGTTAGTCGACTTGTTCGATTGTTTTTACACATAGATGGCTACACTTGTACTAAGTATCCAATGAGCCAATTACGAGTACTGCCTGTCTCGCCCGTTCACCCTTTTCATCGATTTATGAAAATATTTAACGTTATCCTAATTTGTTGTTAAAAATAACATCATCTATATTTATAGCACTAGTAAAAATACATTTTTTCCCGCCAATTCAAGGAAAGGTGAAATCAGGACTAGCAGAGCCATCTATGGACAGAGATATTTCACAAAAATATAAAAAATGAGAACTGCATTTCCCCCATTTTTTGTTCATTTTCCCTGGCAGCAATGGGTTAAAGGAAGAAAACTTTCTTACAGGGTTTACTTGTTCTTATGTAAGATGAGTGACAAGTAGATATATATGTTGTTACTAAGTAAAGTGGAAATTAGAATTCCTTTATCAACCTTTACTTTTCTCCACAGCACAATCGGTTTGTGTCTCAAGCACGCGAGAGTGAGCCAGATGTCGTCTTTGTCGGGGATTCGTTAGTGGCAAATCTTCAGTCGACGGACCTGTGGGAGAAGTGGTTTGCCCCCATGCACAGCCTCAACTTTGGCATCGGTGGGGACCAGACACAGCACGTCCTCTGGCGTCTGAAAAATGGCGAACTTGAGTTCATAAGACCTAAGGTAAGGTTGGCTAGTTTGTAAGATTTCACTTCATATGATCATTGCCATTATTATTTTTATTGGCATTTGGTTTTTGGCCATGGGATTAAAAAAGTATTAAGTAATTGGTAATAAGGTGCTTCCTCAGGTTCTAAAACATTTGATGTGAGAATGTAGTGTGCAGTAGCAATACAATTTTTTCATCATTTCAATCTATATGTTTTATGGATGCATAACTGATGTTATGACATGCTAGAACTTTATTATGTTGATGGTAGTAGTAATCATATTTAACCGACCGTCATCAGTAAAACATTGTGTTCATTGTAGTATTGTTTTGTGAAATAAGTGGTTAGCCATAAGGGAGTCAGTTAGTAGGATTTTCCTTGAATTTGCAAGAAAAAAAAAATTCTCTACTAATGCTATCAATATTGATGCTGTCATCTTTATTACAGACATTATAATGATTATAATGTTATTGGCATTACTAACAGCAACTTATGATACCTGAAAATATTTTTAAAAATCAAGGAAAAGGATAAACAGGTGACATAGGCAGTACTTGTAATTGGCTCATAGGTGGCTTAGTAATGGTGCAGACTCTATGTGTAAAAATAAATAAATTAAACTCCCCCTAGGTATGGCAAGTATGCACATGGCATCTCCAGCAGCATCAAGTTCATAGATATTAGGTTGTATGTTTTATATAATTGTTTAGAAATGCTTTCTTCTGATTGTATTATTTCTAGCACAAATATTTTTTTCTTTTTCTTTTTCTGCTATAAGGGAAAAATACAGGTATTGAAGTAAAAAAAAAGGACAGATTATTAGGAATATAGCTAAGTACTTTATATTTAGGATGAGGGACGATTAGTGGAAAATAATTCCACAGCAAATTATTAAAATGAGAGAGGCTAGAAAACTATTGCAGATTTTTTGCTATTTCTCCTGATTTATAGTATGATCTGTTAATCAGAGTGTATATGTTTTTAATTCATAACAAGAAAGAAAGCACATGTTATGACAGTTTTCTGATCTTAAGAAATAATTATTTCACTCCCATCTTCTGGGTAATCACTTAACCCAGTTAGCATGGGTGGCAAGACTACATTGCCATGCCCTCTGTAATAAAAGTTCATTTATTGTCTTTACACATGTAGATGGCTCTACAAGTACTTAGTCACCAAGGAGTCAGCTATTAGTCTTACCTGTCTCACCTGTTTACCCTTTTCCTTGACTCTTTGAAAGCTTCATTTCTATTTTTTGTTGTCTCTGATGTTATTAATGTTTTTGATAAGAATTTGATACTCATAATATCAATAAGAATAATAACAATGTCAGTATTAATCGTATTAGAAAGAAAAAAAACATTTTCCCACATATTCAAGGAATGGGAAAATCAGGTGCGGTTACTAGGGCCAACTGACACACTCCTTGGTGGCTGAGCACACGAGGAGACATCTACATGTAACAAAACTTACAAAAATCTTGAGGGGATTGTACATAAACCCACAGACACTGGGTTAAAGATAGCATATGCAGTGAAGTTGAGATCATTTTTCAAAGTAATAAGTTATGTTGATGAAAATTATTGTTTATAGTAAAGTGTCTCTTCAAGAAATGTTGTTGGGAGGAGATTTTGGATAGCGCGTGTAAGAGGCTTTAATCTAAAGTCTGTCTAAATTTGATCTGAAATAGGTGTACATGAATGAGAGGATAAAGAGAAAAAAGAGAAAACAGAAGTCCAGCTTTTTCAGATTTGTAGAGATTCGGAAAGAGAAATAAAGAGCTTGATACTCATCCTCTGTAACTGCATTAATAATACTGGGTTAACATGAAATTGACCTAAATTAATTTCAATACAGGTAAAGCTATGAAATCGTATATGATGAACCCTCTTCCATTTTATTCACTTATTTGTACTGTCAGGTTGTATTTGAATTCAAACAGCATTTAAACGTTTAAAACATTTATCATTACTTAACAGATTCCCAATATCCTATCTTTATTACAGGCTGTTGTGGTCTTAGTTGGTACAAATAACCATGGGCATTCTGCTCAGGAAGTTGCAGGTGGCATCACAGAAATTTGTCACACAATACGAGATAAGCAGCCTAAATCATATATTATCGTTTTGGTAAGTAAATGTTAAGTGTTAGTACTATCTTCCTCTGCTCTTTGTTTCTTATTGTTCATCTCTTTGCTCTCCTCTCATCTTCTCAACTCCGTCCCCCTCCTACTCTCCTTTCATTTTCTCCTCTCCCACCCCTTCTTACTGTCCCTAGCATTTTATATAGGTGTTAATTTTTCCCCTCTTTCATTCTTATTTCTTTAATCTACTACCTATTTCCTCTTCATTTTTAAAACAAATTATATGCATTAAAGAGACATCATTCTTTTGTTCAGATATGAATCTGAGCATAATGTCCAATGTGAGTGATTTTGAATCTGTACAGTGAATTAAGAAAAATTTGAAAGCATTCACCTGAGCCTTGCTTGTGTTTTCTTGTCCAGACATTACTTCCACGGGGAGAAAAACCCAACCCCTTGCGCGAGAAGAATAGGCAGATCAATGAGCTAATGAAGGAGGCAGTGCGGGACATTGATTTATGTCAGGTAAGGCAACTTTTAGATTGAAATTTTTTTGACATACTCTATATACATATTCTATATTCTTCCAACTACTCACTAGGTTTTGCAGACATGAGGAGTACTTAGTAATAATGGCTAGGCTATGTATGCTTGTGTGTGTTCTTTATGGAAATATATCCTAATATACAGTTTAATACATTGATTATGAACCCAAGCTTGAAGTGTTTTTGCCTTGTCCCATAGGTGGTAAACATCGATCGAGACTTGGTCATGCAGGACGGAAGTATAGATCACCGTGATATGTACGACTATTTGCACTTAACTTGGCAAGGTTACCGCCGTGCTTTTGAGCCAGTCTTCGAGTTGTTAACACAGCTGCTTCATGAGAACGACAAGGTGATTTTGAACGATGCAACGCTGGCATCACCTGCATCTGACAACCCCCCTTCGGACAACCCCAGTCCCTGTGCTGAGTAGCCTCCCTGAACTTCGAAAACAATGTGCACAGCTCACTATCACGACCACTCTGGCAGCAGATAGTCTCAACCATGACACCATGTGCTTGTGACACCCCGGACCAACATTTTGTGCTCGCGTGGAAACACTTATCAACTCTTGGAGAGGAAATAACATGAGATTTTGAAGTCCATTACCCTAAAGATTGTATGTAACATCTTGTCCAGGGCACTTTTGAAGCAAGCATCTTGTATGACACAGTTGGTGAAACTGAAGGTTGGAATTCAGATATAAACAGCCATTTTCTAGCCATATTTCTTCTGTAGTTATCTTGTGGATTCAGATTATTTATTGAAACTTAGCCTTGTATTCTTACTACCTCAGACCATCTTGCATGACTCAGAGTGATTTGACATCTCTCTTAATCAGCTTCTCTTTAAAATACAGTGTATGAATACAGTGTATGGTTGCATCTTATAATTTTATACTAAACCTAAAGGCCACTGAAGAAATATATATTAAGCAGTACAATGTTTCATTCCATATTTGTGCAAAATGAGTAAATGGTTGTTTTATATAAAAGAAAACATACAGGTCCCCAAATATGTGGGAAAGATATGGAAACCAGTGATACATTATTTTTTAGTTGGGAGCAATTCATTATTTTATTTAATATCATAATTAGATAGTATGATGCTCTTTAATAATTATTGTGATTATTTTTGCAAAGACCTAATCACCTTTTTATCAGCTCTATTGATTTTCTAAGAAAAGTTTGTTTTACTCTAAGTGTAACACTATTTTAAGAAGGACTGTTAACACTGACCTATATCAAGAAAAACCTGGCAAGATTTCGTTATATTTCAGCTTTTTATGGACTTAGGAAAGAAAATTAAAAGGGATGGACATAAGTAACATCGCTGAACATGATAGTGTATGCTTTTAAGTGTGACAGTTGAAATCTTACCATTCACAAGGGCTTGCATAGTCCTGACTGCAGTCAGCAGGCAAATACCTTTAAATGAACAATGCATTCCTATGAACCAAAGTCTAGAACAGAGGGACTTGCTAAGCCTGTTCTTGTGATAATTTTAAGTGATCGTATTTTCAGTATATAAAATCTTTTGTTACTGATAATGTTAAGTTGTACATCTGCACTTTTCTTTTTAGTTGTAAATGCACATGCAAATTGTTTGGAAAGTATAGTAAATTTCAGTATGGTTTTGGTGCACCCAAAGCAATAGGTGTGTTGCTGATTGTAATATTTTGTCAGCTACATATAGGCATTGGTACAAATAAGCGAATGTGCATTTGCACTACTTTCTATACTCATTATTTATATATTTTCAGTAATACGTTTTGGCAGATAGGGCATAATATATGTATCCATTGAGGGTGCTGAGTCTAGTCCCAGTGAATTTTTTTTTTCTTTAGATTGGATCATATATATATTTAAATGACATGGTACCCTGTGATCAGTGTTGGAGGCCTTCAAGCTCTCCATCATGCTGCATTCAGAAATATCTACTTTTGTGCTACTAATTGTAGCCTTGCAACATAGCCAGTTTTGAGTGTATGCTTTGGAATACAATAAAAGATTTGTGTTTTGCATTTCTTGCTGAATCAGGTCATTTTGGTTTAATTACTTATATAAGAAAAATATATATTTGCGGTTTTGAAAACTGATGATACTCCCATGCTGCCCAACATAATTTTTTTTTCTTTTTTTATAGATTTATTATTGGTTGTGGAGCAATCACTGCAAAGGTTGCAAAATATGACTTCATTATTAGGCAGAAAAAAAAAAATTGCTTCTTTAAAATGATCTATCTTCACTGTTGGATCAGGCAAAGCTTTTTGTTATAATTCATCCTAGTTTGCTTAACCAAACTAGTGTAATGACAGACAAGCACACCAAGGTAGCTATGCATGACGCTACCAACCCATCAGCCTGGAATTTTGGATTGGGTGCCTTTCTCCTCAACTTTCCACCTTTGTACTAATAGTTGCATACAGTGACATTGCAGCACCAAAGAATGACTGACTGACATGAGTAAGAATTATTGCCAGTAATGGTCTTAGAATTGGAATATTGATATAGGTTTGAGTAGTTCTTATTACAGATAGATTAAAAATTTTTGCTGAAGTTAAAGTTAGTTTGTGAGTTTAGAATGTGAGTATTTGAATTAGGCTGTATGTAACTCAGTGGAATGGGTTATTTTATTTCCAGCTTTGAACATTGATGCAAAAAGATATGTTCAAGTGAGCTTCCCTTTGCTTATATGATGAATCTCATAAGCTTATCACTGTCCAGCTTTGGGCATTTCCAGGATATAGTTTGTCCATGTGTCATGCTTTCCACATATTTAAGCTTATTGCAAGTAGTGATTGTATACAGTTATTCACTATTGTCTTGGCAAAAGAGTGTAAAGTTCTTAATGAAGATGATCCCTGGATTTGCTCATTTTGCATACGACAAGTCAGTTTCATTCATTAGAACTTCAAGCAAATGGATTGATTTCATGTTCCACAAGGTCATCCTATTTCTAAGGTACTTCATAAGCGACTAAAACTTTGAGAGAAAAGAGGTCTCAAAGTCGTTATCCACCAAAGAATTCTTGTAGGTCATGGCAAAAAAAAAGACGAATATTTGGTTGTTGGCTAATGCAAAAAGGCACCTAACATGAAGATTTCCCAGTTGTATAAATGACAGTATGATTGCTGTTAGATTATATTTTTTGTAAAAATGTGTACCATAGGAATGGGAGGAAATGCCTAGTTGAATATTGCCTTTTAATTCAAGAAAATGTTTGGGCTTCTGTTATAACAGAATGGATGCTATTGCTGTTTTCTTTAGTTATATAAAGAATTTATCAAATTGGTAAAAATGTAATACTTATTGTATTTTCTTGTTGGCGGTTCTGCATTTATATTTCCTTTTGCAGTTCACAGCAAATTTAGGGCCTCTGCATTATTACATAGATCATCACAATGATGTTAATTGTACCCCCACACAAATAGTACACCACTGATATGGAAATCTGCTGCAGCTATGTGTGTGAAGCATAGTGGTCCAATGTACGTGTGCCTGGGTCAGAGTAATGCCTTTTTAAATGTATTTCTCTGTGATATGAGGAACCTTTTAAACTGGTGGCAATGTGGCAGCTCTTGGTGGCAAAGGCTATCGTGCACCTGTCTGTTTCATGTATGATTAAATTATGATAAAGATTATTTTTGTTTTCCTGTTCCATGTGGTAATAAACCAAGATTTTGGTATATACCTAATTATAACATATGAGACAGTAAATACCCTCTTTTTTATGTTTTTTTGCATTTACAGTTTTTACCAAAAACGTGTCAGGTGATTTTTTTTCTATGATCACTTCTGAAGTAATTTGTTTAATGCACTTTATAAGTTCCATTAAAATAAAGTACTGACAAGAAATTTAAAAGTTCCTCGTTTCAGATTTTAAAATAGAAATCCAAATTATTCAGTCATATAAAACTATGACACTCATAAACGTTACTGAACAATATACAGAGTTTTATAGTTTTTAACACCGAAAAACAAAAGGGATAAAGAAAAAAAGTTTGTTTTTATTTCTTCACATTTAAAGATTTTAGCGTTTTAGTGTTATGCAATGAAGGTTTATATGTCTTATATGTTTGTAGGTGTATTTGATAAGCCAGATGTGAGGGAAAATGTTATCTACGCATACAGATATTTTACGTTATATATGTGTGTGTGTGTGTGTGTGTGTGTGTGTGTGCGTGTGCGTGTGCGTGTGCGTGTGCGTGTGCGTGTGCGTGTGCGTGTGCGTGTGCGTGTGCGTGTGCGTGTGCGTGTGCGTGTGCGTGCGTGTGTGTGTGTGTGTGTGTGTGTGTGTGTGTGTGTGTGTGTTTGTGTTTGTGTCTGTCTGTCTGTCTGGATGAATATGCTTGGGTGCATGCGAGTTATGCATATACGTATGTTTATATGCATGTATATACGCCTAACTGTATGTGTTAGCGTATGCGCACGTACATGTGTTTATATGCATAACATATTCATTTATGCTTCCCGGCCGTATTTTAAGTGTTCCGGCTGAAGTCGTTCTCCTGGGGAGTGTCACGTTCCAGTGCATAGACAGGGATGGACGCCATGCACTTGCTTCGGCAGACTCACTGTTAGAAAGCTTTCGAAGTTCTTCAGGCTTTTTACGCAGGATTCATAGACACGTGCAAGAAGTTTTCCTTATCGATGTTGGTTACATGTTAAAGACTTGCTTTTAATTTAGCTGAAAAGGGATCTCATTTTTCTTCGTTTTCCACAAAGCCTATGGTCAGTATACGAAAATAAGCTAACATTAATTTAATTTCATAAAATCTAGCGCATATATTCTGAACATAAGGCCTACTGTGGAGGTGTGAACTGTGTCATACAAATAGAAAACAAATAAAGAATATGTGAAGATTGTCTTTGTATGTGCTTCTCCACCGCAGTCATTTATACTGATAAAATATTCTTTTTATCTACAATTAATAATAATATTTGCGATTTGACGAATGCTGGTGAACATAGCCATACCGTCACGTTCATTTGGGTCACCTACGCCTAGCGACCGATAGCGGGACCTTGGTAAGTACTTCCGCCACTAGATGTCTCTCCATACATCCTGCTGCATTAATTAAGTGTCATTATATTTTTTTCGATTTCATTCTAGTTTTTAATTCCGCTGAGAAAAGCGATGTTGCTTAAAACAATAGGTTAAAAAAGTGGGATTTCAGCAGTAGCAAATGAGCAAACGAGAGAGAGAGAGAGAGAGAGAGAGAGAGAGATAGAGATAGAGATAGAGATAGAGATAGAGAGAGAGAGAGAGAGAGAGATAGAGATAGAGATAGAGATAGAGATAGAGAGAGAGAGAGAGAGAGATAGAGAGAGAGAGACCGAGACCAAAAACAGACACACAGAAACAGAGAAAGGTAGAGAGATAGAAAGAGAAAGAGGCAGATAGAGAGACAATGCACGGCTGGAGCAGAGGGTGCCGGTGGCCGTGACAAACTGTAGTTCCACTAACAGTTCAACCTCGCCTTAACGTTCGCGGTGAACGGGTACACGCAGCAGTCTTAGAATCACGGTCTTTAGTGAGCATGAGGGTGGAAATTAGTATATATTTCCATGCTGTTTTTTTCCTAGCTGCTTGCCATCGGCTTCCGGGTAATTCAAAGCGAATGTGATGAATATTTCTTATCTCTTCGTCTTGATGTCATTTGTAGTATAGAAAGAATGAGAGAGAGAGAGAGAGAGAGAGAGAGAGAGAGAGAGAGAGAGAGAGAGAGAGAGAGAGAGAGAGAGAGAGAGAGAGAGAGAGAGAGAGAGAGAGAGAGAGAGAGAGAGAGACAGACAGAGAGAGACGGAGAGAGAGAGACAGACAGACAGACAGACAGACAGAGAGCAAGGATGAAGTGGATATATAGAAGAGTCAATTAAATACAAATGGATTTTTTTCCTCAGGATTAAGACAACGTTTGTAATGACAATTATAACATATTCTAGGACACACGTAATAAAGAAGACCGTTTTTTCCCCATCCAACAATCATGAGCAAGAATGCATACACTATTGCATAAACAGTATTAGAATAAATCAAGACTTTTAGCACCACAAAACACGTCAGCTGATGGATTTCACTTAGCCATAATCACACACGTTTCGTGTCAGACAAAATACAATGTCATATGTCCTAATATATTTGAATACAAGACCATCCCTTTAAAAATGAACGTTGAATATGAGAGTCTCTGACATATAGAAAGAGTAAGAAAAAAAGGTATAAAAAAGTATCGGGCTTTTTTTAAGGATATATTTTACGTAATTCCGATGATTGTTACCTTGAGATTCCATTACAGGTTGAAGGTGTAAAATTATATTGATAATGGAAGCAATAATAATAATGGTAGTCATGATTATAACTGTAATGACTACGAAAGTAATCGTCATGCTCACCATTATCATTAATCATCGCATCAGCTTATGATAACAACGATAATAATTATAATAATGGTATAATAATAAGGACAACAACAATAACGATTATAATGAGAGTAGAAAACTGGGATATTTTCACCTGCAATTTCTGTTAATGTATGGAACGTCCGTTTATAAATCTAAGACATCTTTTAAACAAATAAATATTCTTATAACAGGAGAAAGTGGGATACAAATGTTTATTTCCCGCCACTTTTGAATTAAAAGAAAATATCAATAGAAAATGTAGGATATACGTGCGTGCGTGTGTGTGTGTGTGTGTGTGTGTGTGTGTGTGTGTGTGTGTGTGTGTGTGTGTGTGTGTGTGTGTGTGCGTGCGTGCGTGTGTGTGTGTGTGCGTGCGCGCGCGCGGGTGTGTGTGTGTGTGTGTGTGTGTGTGTGTGTGTGTGTGTGTGTGTGTGTGTGTGTGTGTGTGTGTGTGTATGTGTGTGTGTGTTCGTGTGTGTGTGTGTTTGTGTGTGTGTGTGTGTGTGTGTGTTCGTGTGTGTGTGTATGTGCGTGTGTGTGTGTGTGTGTGTGTGTGTGTGTGTGTGTGTGTGTGTGTGTGTGTGTGTGTGTGTGTGCGCGCATGTGCGTGTGCGTGTGTGTGTTTGTGCATGTGTGTGCGTGCGTGCGCGTGTGTGTATGTTTCCGTGCGTGCGTGTGTGTGTGTGTGTATGTGTGCACGCGTGCATGCGTACCTGTATGTGTGTGTGCACACGTGCGTGCGTGCCTGTGTGTGTATCTATGCATGTGTCTGTCTATCTATATGTATATATACACACATGTACGTA